CATTGCTTTTGATTGCCACCTATAAAATATCAAAGATATACTTAGTACTACTGATGTTGTAACAATTGACCCAATTCTTGAAAACCAGAATTATCTTTACTTAAGTAAATGGACTGCTCTTCTATGACTACATCTGTGAACTGTCCATTAACAGTAATTGGAGTTGTGCCAATTTATCTACAAGTGCACTGTGTTTCAAACTGTAAAACTGCTAAGTCATGATGAAGAATAAGAAGGGGTTTTTGTTTTTTTAAATGAGCAGTTTAACTGCAGGAGAGTAACCTAAATCTTTATTGTTTTAAAAATCCGCAAAATATTAAAACTGAAAACAGTGAATTTTAGCACTACTTCAATATCATTTAATGATACTCATTTTAATTCCTCTGAAGATGCTAAACATTAGTATATTAAATTCTATATATGTTAATACCTTGATCCCTCTCAAATATAGTGAATTGAGCTATCTTATTTTCAAGCAAATACTGAATAGCTTATTAATAATTGATGCAGGATCCTCATGACAGAATCCTAAAATGTAATTTCTGCAAAGTTGTCACCATAACAAAAACAGCACTCTCAATATTCTGGGGGGAATCCATTCCTAATTATATCTGTGAACACTTCCTGACTAGGTACTGTTTCATTTCCTTCCTTATCTTCTTCCCAAACCTAACTTAATGAGGCCCTGAGATGCAGCATGTATTCAAATACTAGTTGTGTGGATAAATGGCCATTGGAGAAATATAATACAAACCTCTTACATTAGATTTTTATGCTTTACTCAGGATGCCAAAGCAACAAATATGCATCACATATGCAACGGACATCCCTAAGGCACAAGCAGCAATCTCATTCTGCAACTCTCAAACTTTTTTCATACTCTTCAGAACTCTTATCTGCATGCCAAAACCTCTGCACAGTTGTGTGCAACTTTGTTCATTTATGTCCCACTCAAAAAAGGATATGAGAACACAAAAGGAGGAGATAAAATTATATAAGGATGGCTTTGAGGCTATTAATATTTTTGCATGCACACTCATGCAACACCTATAGCATGCATACAAAAAACAGGAAACTCATGAACCAGGGACTGGACAGTTGCATGCATTATTTGTGTAAAAATATATTTATGAAATGGTTTCAAATGAAATGGTTTCAAAAAGTTTGTGGAAAACTATAATTGAAAGATGAAGAAATCGTTCCACACACTTTTGAACTCCCCTCATATGTATGTGTGCACATATATACAAGCATAATCATATATGCATTATGTACATTACAATGTTTTACATAGATAATATAGATATTTCATATTCTACAGACATATCACGTATGTGTGCATATAGGAATAAACTTACTTTCTTCTAACCAAATGAAGCAAAATATAAACTTAGATAACCTATCCTACATTATTTCTACAAAAAGCCAAGGTATGGCATATATACTTCCTGCATCCTTCAGTCCTATCAATATGTTCCCTTTAACAGCAGGTTTCATACATCTATCTTATGCTTCACTCATTTTTGCATACTAGCTAACCAGTTCCTAATAAGAATTAATTTAAAGTTCTTAAAGTGAGGAGCTTGATGGAAAATATCTACTCTTTCACAGTTGGGAGAAAAGTCTCCTATTATGTCTAGGAACATGACTCTCTTGGTGTAGAAGTTATCACTCTTGTTTTAGATTTCTCAGAAGTAGACCTTGAATTAAGGATTGCAGTATAAGTAATTTATCTGGAAATTGATCTCAGGAAACACCAGTAGGGAAAATGAGAGACCGCGCCATTAAGCTTGGATTATCAAGCAATGTACCACTATGAGCAACTGAAGTTCACCTTCACTGAAGAAAGTATCAAACAAGAGTCAGAGTTAACCCCAACTACTAGCTAAGAAGATAAGGTATTTGCTTATCCAATTACTCTTTATCATTGGTTGAGGGCTGCTTTCAGAAGCATTTACCCAGTAGTACTATGTGTCTTGTTCTTCATACATGCCTTGATGCTCCCATGATCGGGAAGAAAAAAACACTCAGGCAGAAGATGTCCAAAGAAAGCACCCTAAATAATATGAGCACAGCACCAAATACATCTATTCTTATATGAAATAAACCCTCATGGTGCAGCAGGTTAAGTGGTGGGCTTCTAGGTGTAAATTTAAACCCACCAATCACTCCAAGGGAAAAAGATACATCTGACTCATCCCATAAAGATTTACAGTTTCAGAAACCCTCAGGAGCCATTCTTTTCTGTCCTAAAAGATTGCTTTAAGTTGTAATGAACTCGATGTCAGTGGGTTTAGTTTCGTTTTTTCCTATATAAAGGAGTGCCTCTACTGCAACGCCATAGGAATTGAGTCTGTAAAAACAACCGATTAGGGTAAGATTGCTACTGAGACTAAATTACAAAGAGGAATTTCAGACCACATTAGACAAAGAGAATTGAAAAACTGAACATGAAAATTAAGGTAGGGAGCTGATATTAAATAAGCACTGAAGCTATGATGTTGTTGTTAAGTGCCATTGAGTTGGTTCTGACTCATACAGACCTCCTACAGGATTTCCAAGGAGCAGTTGGTGGGCTTGAACTGCCTACCTTGCATTCATGCTGACCTTACAGTCCAGTGCATTATCCAGCAGCACCACACTAGGTCTCCAAACTATGGTGGTGGTGGTGGTTATGTGCTGTGGAGTTGGTTTTGACTCATAGTTGATTTTTAACTTTAAACAGTTTAAGTAGAAAAAAAATGAGCTGCTTGAAGGATTTAAGTAACAAAATACTTTGCTTAAGTGTTGGCTTTACATTTATAAGATATATTATCCAAGACAATTATCTAACTTCCAAAAAACTCAATATCCTAGTTCCTAAAATAATTACCTATTATTCAAGGATTTTGTGAGGATTGACTGAGCTAATATATAACATAGGTAATGTGCTAATCGGTGGTGGTTGCCAACTGTTAGTCCTACCTACACAAGCATCTCTCTTACCTCCTCCTGTCACAATTTATAAGGTATTCATCCCACTATAGAAATAAGTTTATTAATTGTATAACAACTTAATGACTTGACTATGTCCACTCAGTTATTAAGTAATTAAATAGGGTTGAGGCTTGGGCCCCTCTGACTTCAAAGATATGTCTTCAAATTTCAAAATTTGTGCTAACAAGAAAATAGGAACCACAACGTAATATTAATTTTCCAGAATGCCACAAAATATGACAATTCTTCACAGTTGAACAAATGTTAGAATGTTAAAAACCTGCCTTTTAAAAGTAAATTTGTCTTGGTTCTTAAGTTAAAGTTGGACTAGCATAGCCTTCACTGTAAAAAAGTATATTTTAAAGGACTGTTTAAAACTTTAAAAAATTAATATCAGAGTCTCATTTAAATAACAGTTAACTAACCAAAAGTCTTAATAGTTACTGAAATATTTAGGCAGCATCCCTAGAAAATGTGGCAACCACATAAGCAATTAACATCTTGGATATGTTCTTTTAAAAAGAAGAGAACCACAACAACTATAGTTAAAAGATGTCTTCTATGAATTCAGCTTAACCTGACACTTTCTACAATAAAATTTCTATTCTACATGATGATCCTGAGAAATTCAGATTCAATTATTAAATGAGGTCCCACTGCACCTGATAAGCCTTTTTACCAGACTAAAACAATTTATGTACTTTTCAACTGGGATTGCAAATTTGTCTAAAATTATTCTTTTATTTATTTCCAACTAACCAGAACACCTTATTTTGCAACTATCTTGGTTAATTTATAAATGCTCTTTTAATGTTTAGACATTATGTGAGGTTTTGCCTAAAAGAAAGAAATTGAAATATTATCCTCTACAAAACTTCCATACCCCTTTAAATTATTAGCATAAAACCAAGGAAGAAGTTTGTAACTTATACCCAAGATAAAATCCCCCAGTGAGTAGGAACAGAAGAAGGCACTGGGAGATTAGATGGTGAGGAAAAAAGATGGAGGTATTTTGTCCATTGGTGCCTGAGCATGATTGGACCAATAACAGATCTTCTATGTAGTTAAAACAAAACCTCAATACCAACTGAACTTCAAGGAAACCTACTAGTTCAGGTGAATGGCTAGTAACTATAAACATTATCGTAAAACAATGCATGTGACACATGAAGTGACTATTCCAGAAAATACTAAATACAATAAGTAATGAGATGGAGGAATTTCAAAAGTTTAGGCAGAGCAATTGAAAATATAGATGAAGCATCTAAAACATACTTTGCTAATGGATTTAAAACCATCTCTTTTGATTTTGAGGCTTTGAGGCACATAATGCTAAAAATGGACTAATTATAGAAAGGTTGCACTGTACTATAGAAACCCTATTATTAATACACCATTATTAGTAACAGTCACAATTATCTGTTCAAAATAAATATTTTCTATTACAAAGATTGTTGTTTTCACTAACTACCTGTTACATATATAAACCAATAGTCTGCCTGCAACTCCAAATGTTTAAACAGCATAAAATTCCCAATAACAAGTAGACAATCAAGACAACCCTGACAAGAAGTAAGTACATAGGCACAGGAGATTTAAGTTTCCAATATGCTTTTTCAATCAAGTTGAATACATTTTTTAAATTGGTTAACAACACCTAAAGGGGGGAAAAGAGAATTTATTTAGCACTGATCGGCTGCGTGCCATTTCTATGTATTGTATCTCTCATATCAGCCTTATACACACCCTAGGGAAGCACAGATAGACAAAAGAAAAAGCACTAAATAAATGCAATAAATGCATTGCAAGAAAAAGTGGAAAAAAGAGTTCCCGTCTATAGCAACTATTGTATAGAGTCAAAATGGAGAAACAAATCAAAGAGTGCCTTTTACTCCCTCCCCCAATCTCAGTCTCCCTTTCTGGCTGCCTTCTCCTCCTCTCTCTCTCTTTCCCCTTTTCACCAGCCCCCACCCCCTTCTCTTTTGCAGCTTTATTTGCAGACCACGCTGCACCATGCCACTCACCTGTCGTCGTTTTGCCATCCTTGGTCCCCTAGCAGCAAATCCCGAAACCTGTACCTGGGAGGTAGAGGGGGCACTTCGCTCTCCAAATCAACCATCCTTCCTCAAAGAGTGTGAAACATAAAAAGACAAATGGAGTGGATGAGGGAGAAAGAAAGAAAATATTTCGGAGTAGAGGAAGAGGACTGATAAAATATTGTGGCCAAGAGACGGACGGGAGGGTGAAGGGGAAGGGGAGTGGGGTGGGGGAGGGGGTCTGCTTTGAGCCGGAAGCTGAGGCTGTAAGGGGGCTGGCTCCTCTTTCCTGAGGGTGTGATGGGGATGATGCAAACCAAGCCCAGGAGCAAAAAGTCTGGCTCTGACAAGAACCAATGCTGCCACGGAACCGCCCCCGGGCGCGGTACCGCCTCTGGTCCCCAGGACTAGGGGGGGTAGGCAGGAGTGCAAAAGTTACTTCACCGAAAAAAAAAAAAACAAAAACGCGCGGTGCCTAGAAATAGGTGAAGGGATAGGAGTGAGCGCCGCGTGATGGGGAACCACTTTTCAAACAGTCAGGTAAAAAAAAATCCTCCTCCAAAGGCAGCTCTGGGCTGCAGTCCCCCGGGGCAGGCGTGCACCCGACACAGTCCGGAGCTGGCGGGAGTGGGAAAGGTGGGTTTGGGTCCTGAATGCCACCAACCCCTCTCCTCTGGCGAATGCCCTTTGGAGCTGCCTCTGAGGGCTGAGCCAATAAGATTCCCCCTCATTAGCATAACACTGTGACGGCACGGGGGTGCCTTGGGGACAACCAATGGGGGCCAGCTAATTTTGAGGATTTCGGGGCTCCTGGTCCTTCCTGGGGAGGAGGGAGCTCTGGGTGCTTGGAGGGTTCCTAGATGCAACAAGCATCCCATTGAAGGCCTCCATCCCGGATTGGTGAGGTAAAAATACTCATTGCTGGAGAGGGAATCCCCAGCTCTCACCCCCAGGAAAGTCCATTTTAAGTCACACTTGAAAAAAGGTGTTTTCCTGATCCACAAAGGATGGAGAGCTACCATAGACTGCTAAAGAGAAACATTTAAATGGTAACTAGGAGATTGCATTGAAATGCATTGAGCGTTATAGAGCCATAAGTAACCATTTCTACTATTTGCTGCTCCTAGCATCATTGGGAACTTCCAGATTGTATGGCCTCATATTTCAGAACGCTCCTCTTAGTGGTTCACACTCCCAAAAGAAAAAGTGAGCCCTAGTTTGTTTTTATTTGTTTGGTTGGTTTGGTTTGGTTTTTGCACAGATGTTTTCTTCCTACTGAAAGCTGATGTCATCAGCTTGCAAACACAGAAGACTTCCCATACAATACACACTTGGCTAGACCCTGAAGGTATATCATTGTGTGCCAATAAGGATCTCACAATGTAGTCTGGGAAACAAGCTTTACAAACGAATTAAAGACTATGAAAGACACTGTAAAGAATTTATAAAGAGATTTAGAAATACCTGTGAGATACCATGACTATTTATACAAGAGTCTAGGAAGACTCATTTAGTCCTTTGCATCCCACATAAGCGCAGGAAGGAAAAGTAAAGTAGAGCAAATAACATGAGGACAATCAGAGGGAAAAAGGAAAACTGACTTCCGAAGGAGTAGTGATTCATTTGATATGATTCTCAGTAGAGATCATTAAGAAATCTCTAAATAAACCTGGAAATGCTGGAAGAAATTGGCAAAATAATGTATCAGATAGAAAAAGATGAAACATCTAAAAGAAAGTAGAAAGAGAACAGCCATAGCCTATAGCTATTTTGTCAAAAATTCTACTCATTCTTTTGAATAAATCCCCAATGAGCAGATCCTCACTGCATTTACTGATTCTTCCAGCTGCTAGGATGACCTTCTTCCTTTGAACCCTTCTTACACCTGTTCATTTTTTTTTTTTTTTTTGTAGTGCTTATTGTATTCTACCATGCTGTAGAATTATCTCTACACTTATCATGAGAAGTGGCTGGTCAGCTTGAACTGCTGACTTTGCAGTTCAAACCGACATTGAAGTCCAGCACACTAACCAGCTACACCAGAATAGGACTCCTTGCTGTAAGTAAATTCTGAGGAACTATATGTTGAGATATATGAAAAGTTTTTTAACTGAAGACATTAATACTTTCTTTTCCACATTTGTGTTAGCCCCTAAGTCAGTTATATATTTGTTTATGTTTCTTTTGCATGAACTTTTCTAATCATTTTGAATATGAGAAAATTCTATGAGTACATTATTAGTTTGTGCAAAAACAAGAGAGAGAATATGTAATTTCTATTTTGACCTTTACAGTCTATTGTTAAGATGACTCTGAAATTTACTTTTTCAAGGAGCCAAGTTAATGTTTACATTATTGTAGGGTCAAAGAACAAGCTGGAGTCTGTTAAAATTAAAGAGTGTTACTTTAATTGAAGTACTTAAAGTAGTGAAGGAAAAAAAGAAAAGAACTACTGGATTGGGAGTCACACAGTCCAGAAGGGAGGAGAAGGCAGTTCAGGGAGGTTTTTATGAGGAATTTACAAAATATTTCAGTGAATGGTTGACTTTTAGGTAATGGTTACAAAATTGAGTACATCTGACTTCAAAATAATCATGAGCCCCTTCTTGTGTGACCCCAAGGAGAACATTTGTAACTAAGGTTTATCTTGAATGAGCAACTTTTTAAAGAATTATTTTGACCCAATATTTTAAACAAGGTATAGTTTTAAACAAGCAAAACTCTTTTCTTTTTTTTCTTTAAAGTTTTTATTGTGAATTGAGTGATAGTTTACATGGGAGAACATCAGTTTTACACTCATCGTTTCATTGCAATGATTATAATCCCTTCCATGCATCGTCATTCAACAGTATTTGCTTCTATTCCCTCTGGTTTTTTTGTTGTTTTTTTTTTCCTTGGGGCAGGGGAGGATTACACAAAAACTCTCAGGAATATATAATAATTTAAACAACCAAAGAGCACATTCTGCAAGCCTCCTGACCGCCAGCACTCAGTCTTTCTCTCTCCATGAGTCTTGAGTCCTCAGCTGCTCTCTCTCTCTCTCTCTCTTTCTCTCTGTTCTCATCTCTGCCTCCATCTCTGGTATCACTGCTTCACTGGTTAGGGTCCCATATTCTGCTAGTGCTCTTTTCCCTTGATGGTCCTAGGCGCCTCATGTCCTCTGTTCCTAGACAGAGAATAACTACTCCCCACTTTTTGTTACAAAACTTTTACATTTACAGTTGTGACACTCACAATTATTCATGGTAGCAATTACTCACTATTGAATCATAAGAATCTTATCCCCATATCTTTTTCCCAGACCCATCTAGACACGATGTAAACTATTCATTGGGGACTCTACCTTCCCCTGCACACTTTTAAACTAAACTCCTTCTTGAAAACTTGTAAGCCAGTCACTTCATGCATTTATTGTACCCTCTTTTTAGGTAGTGAATGTCTAAGTGGCTCGTCCCTTAGACTACCTGTATACAGAGAGGATAGGATTAATACTTGATGTGAAGACTCCTTTCCTGTAAATTGGTATTTTGAGCTACTACATCCCTAAGTATAGATCACGTTCATCAGCTCATAGCAATTTACACTTGTTTCCTTTATCCAATGTTGTTTTTTTATCTTCCTCTAGTCAAGTTATGATCATCAAGGCATTGAAGCTAGGTCAAGTAGGTACTAGCTGCAATTTTGGACATTCTTGTGTGTTTCCCCTCACTTCATATGAGCTGGATGCTTCACTCTCAGCTCTAACTCTCCATGGCTATGTCCTTGTCCATAGGCTCAGGAGTCCTAAGGTCTCACCACGCTTTGGACCATCCGTCCCTTCCTCTCCTCTCTCTCATCTCCAGGTCAATGGGAGTATATGGAATGTGGTTGAACTCAGCCCATATCTTCATGGCTGCCTTTCCTGCTCTTCCAATCACCAGTAGACTAACGTGGTCTCCAGCAAGCTTACATGCCTGCACATGTGTTCTCTTTGAGTTTCAGTCTTGGAGAGGGGATTGTCCTGAAGGGACTTGATTGCTTGGCTTGATGGCTCCCCAGCGAACAACTAAGCAAGCAAAACTCTTAAGTAAATAAAATCACATTGTTCTCTAAAATTGATCATCACGTAATTTTCTCAGAGTTCAGTGAAGAATCATAGAAATTATAAGGTGCATATCTGGATGCAGAAGTTAATTTTGCTTCAAATGGGAGTTTTTTGGTTTCAGACTGTAGCAGAGCCACCATTTCGTATTGTTGTTGTTGTTAAGAACCGTGGAGTCGGTTCCAACTCATAGTGACTCTGCACAGGGTTTCAGAGGCTGTAAATCTTTACGGGAGCAGAATGCCTCATCTTTCTCCCGTGGAACCCATATTGGGAGCCTTAATTAATTTTGGGGTGCTCTTACTCAATAGGAGTCCTGGTGTGAGTCTGTAGGCTAATGCATCAGACTACAAAGTCATTTGAACTGCAAGGTTGGCGGTTCAAGCTCCTTGGAAACCCTATACAGGTTCACTATGGATCGGAATCAACTCAACAGCACTTGACAACAACAACTTACTCAATAGTCTGACTTTCTGTATTTTAGATGACTCAAAAGTCTGAAATATGTACATATCTCAAGAAACAGACAAAAAAATAATAAAGCTGTTGAACAAGAGATACCCCAAATGCTAAATGTTAGAGAGCAAAACAATATTTTACCTTTTTTAAAGCTTAAAGTTTAGCGTCCTTATTGTACACATTTGTAATAATCTTAGTTATTTGACTTTGAAATGCTTCTAAAATAGCAGCTTAGGAAAAGGCAAATATATTAAACAGAAGAAAAAAAATAAGCAAACATATAAATTAAAACCTACTCTGTTAATTGTGTTATAGCAAAGTTAAGGGGACAAAGGGCACAGAGATCCCCAATATGTCAAGCCAAACCACTGGAAACTACTGCATTAATGTACCCTTTGTGGTATATGCACATTATAATTGTCAAAGTGAAGGATCTTTGCAGCTAAATTAAGAAAATTAGAAGACTGGTACACTATCAGAAATATTATGTTTGTTGTGGTTGTTTTGTGCTGTAGAGTCAATTCCTACTCATAGCGATCCTGT